CCACAATGAGCAATGATAGCTTGTCTATATACATGGGGTACCAGTACCAAGTCCATGTGCAGGGGTACGAGTAAAGCCAGTGTGTCTATGTATGTGGATGACTCAACACTCAACACTATACATGTCAGCTACTACAGCGACTGAAATGACTGCAACACTTAACAAAGAGCTGCAGTTAGTTTCAGAATGGGTGGCAAGGAATAAGTTAGTGCTAAATATTTCAAAAACTAAAAGCATTGTATTTGGGACAAATAATTCACTAAACCCTAAACCTAAACTAAATCTTGTATTGAATCATGTGGAAATTGAGCAAGTTGAGGTGACTAAACTGCTTGGAGTAACCTTGGATTGGACTGTCATGGTCAAAACATATTGATACAACAGTAGCTAAGATGGGGAGAAGTCTGTCCATCATAACAGCACTATCAACAAGGCACTACAGGCCCTAGTTTTGTCGCACCTGGACTACTGTTCAGTCGTGTGGTCAGGTGCCACAAAATGGACAATTGGCTCAGAACAGGGCAGTACGGCTGGCCCTTGGATGTACACAGAGAGCTAACATTAATAATATGCATGTCAATCTCTCCTGGCTCAAAGTGGAGGAGAGATTGACTTCATCACTACTTGTATTTGAGAGAGGTATTGACATGTTGTATGCATCGAGCTGTCTGTTTTGAACTAATGGCACACAGCTCGGACACCCATGCATACCCCACAAGACATGCCACCAGAGTTCTCTTTACAGTCCCCAAGTCCAGAACAGACTATGGGAGGCACACAGTACTACATAGAGACATGACTACATTAAACCCTATTCCACATCAAGTAACTCATGCAAGTAGTAAAATTAGATTTTAAAAAAAAAACAGATTAAAATACAACTTATGGAACAGCGAGGACTGTGAAGCAACACAAACACAGGCACAGACACATGCATACACACACACGATAACATACGCACTATACACACGCGCACACATGGATTTTGTGTTGTAGATATGTGGTAGTAGAGTAGGGGCCTGAGGGCACACACTTAATGTGTTGTGAAATCTGTTGTGAATGTATTGTAATGTTTTTAAAATTGTATAACTGCCTTAATTATGCTGGACCCCAGGAAGAATAGTTGCTGATCTTGGCTTTATTTAATAAATACAGCATAGTTACCGTAAATGAAATATTCCAGAGGTGTTTATTTTCTAATGTTAAGGTATGCACTGTATGTTTTATTCATACAGTTGTATCAAACTGTGACAGAGCGGAAATTAGTCTAATAATTATTCCATTGTCGTTAGTGCATTCATCGGTGCCTAAATGCTGGGTGGAGGGTGGGGAGGCGGGAGGCTGTCTCCCAGGGGTCCTCTCCCCTCAGCTATGCGTGGAAGAGAGAGAGAGAGAGAGCGCGAGGAGGTCCCATCCCATCCGCAGCCACGCAGAGTAAGTCTGACCTCTACTGGTTTCATGGTAAATTACAGCATTAGAGCACATTTGAACAGAAATGTATTTAAGCTGACTGAGCGTGCAGTGAAAAATGTATCTGTTCATTGCTGATTTTCATACCTTGTGATCCATCAGACAGTGTGACGGGGGAGTTGTTGATCAGCAATCACTCTGAGAGCTTTGTGGGGATCTACATGTGTTAGGTGACCAACGCTGGGGACGTCTTTTTGTCTTTCTTTAAAACATTACACACTCACTCAGTCAGTCATTCACTCACTCACTCAGTCAGTCATTCACTCACTCACTCAGTCATTCACTCATTCAATCAGTCATTCACTCACTCAGTCATTCACTCACTCACTCAGTCATTCACTCAATCAGTCATTCACTCACTCAGTCATTCACTCACTCAGTCATTCACTCACTATAAACCCCCCAAAAGTGAAAAAGTTCCTTCACCTGGTGCTTGTTCCATCTGTCTCCCTAGCCCCTATCAGGACTGATAATGGGTACTGTGATGGGTTTTCTACTGCTCATCATCAAGTGTGATGCAATATCAGGTATGGAAGAACATACTGTATTCACACTAAGAATGTAGATGGTTCTGTGGCCATACTGCTATATTTCCTGTTGCCCTCTCACCCCCCCCCCCCCCCCCCCCCCCCCATATTACTCTGCTCTGTTGACATGTATTTTTTTTGTTGTTGATGGTATGCACCTTTAGAATCAAGGATGATATCCTTTATTGTGTAGCGCAGGCATCAGGGTATCGACCTATCAGAGTTCTGAACTCTGAAATCAGTTTGTAACTGTGTTAAGGTTTTAATTTTCTGGAAATGTGCACTAGTTTAATACTTGAACGTTTTGTCCTTGTAGCAGCACTTTATTATGTGTGTGTGTGTCTGTGTGTGTGTGTGTGTGTGTGTGTGTGTGTGTGTGTGTGTGTGTGTGTGTGTATGTGTGTGTGTGTGGCACACATAAACGTCCCTACACTGTAATCGGTCATCGCAGCATCTAAGTGACACACATACTGCATTACAAGGGAGTGTAAAGAACAACTTCATTCGTCATCCAAGGTCATTACATAGGCCATATGAAACAGTGTACAGAGACTTACGACCTGAAGAAGTGGGGCAAACTAGTCATGAAAGCCAGCCCAGATGTTGTATTCTCACGTTCAATATGCTAACAGCTGCTCCTCAGTTGTTGTGTCATCAGACGTCCATAAGATGGCGCCTATAAGCCATCACATTTCCCTCTGATTTCCCAAACTTCCGAATGACATCTGGACATATTAGGTATTTGACAAGGCTTTGTAAAAAAAAAAAAAAAAAAATTATGTAGCTCATAAAACAATTCCATGAATAGAAAGAGTAACATAAAATGTAGGCATAAAGAGAAATATTTATTTCATGATAGACCTCATTTTGGAAATACTCGACCATTCATAAAAATGTACACGATTAAGTCATTTTTTGAGGATGTACTGACAGGAGTTGAAATATCTATTACCACATGCAATGGGTTTTCTCCACTACACAAACAGCGACTAAGTAGCCCCCCCCCCCCCCCCCCCCAGCTAACATGTACTCCCCTCAAAATCAACTCCTCCAATCCTAGATGGCAGGAGTTGTATTTGGGAGTAGTGGGCCTTTGGAATACACACATAGTCACATATGGTCAGAAACCTACAGTACTCTTTCCTCTTCCACCACATCAGTCTTAGTTTGTCAGCCAACATCACTGTTTGAATCCTTCTGGTCAGTAGATTATTGTGGGTAGTCTACTTGATAACTGATCTGGGATGGGAAGCCAGGGAATATGGCAGCCATCTTTATCTCTATCTTCTGATTAAATGGATGTGGTCAGTCAGTCAATGATCCAGTGTGGCTTTCTGCACTGTAAGCTACATGCAATCTGGTGCACTGTTTTCCATTGGAGCTAGAAAATGTATGATATTGTGACATCTTCATATTATGTTCAGGTAGATCATCGTAATATGATGTTGACTTTTTGATTTGAGGTAATTCATGGAGCTGCCATATTACTTCGCCAATCACCAAAGCAACAAAAATGTATTTAAATGATAAACTTCCTAAAATCCCAGTACCATGTGTCCATCTGTAAATAAGGCAAGGTACAAACAAACTGATAATACAAATCACTAGGTTAAAGTTAATGCGGACATTAATAAAAAGAGGTTGCATTTGGCTTTAAAATAATTCAGGTTGGTCCAGTTTTCAGCAAGTAAAGTTTGGTCTTGTTCAAAATAAAACAAAATAAAAACAACAAAAACATTGAACACCAAGATAGATTTTCAGTGCATTAGGTGGTGTTTTGGACTGACTTAAAGTTTCCCTTTTTGCATCCTGTTGATTGTGAGGAGATCCCATAGACGTAAAGTGCTGAGACTGATGTGAACCTTCTATCTGTACACCCATTCTACCTGCCATTAAACCTTTCGGTGGGTCACTGTGTTTTTTGGCTGTGACAGGAACAGTAATTCCCCGACTCCAGTGCAATGTTTCTGAGGGCCACTGTCTGTCTGTCTTTAGTCGGCAAGGGGGTCAAATGAATGAGCCCCCTCCTTGCACCAGTCACATTTTTTTTTACATTTCAGTCATTTAGCAGAAGCTCTTATCCAGAGCGACTTACAGTTAGTGAGTGCATACATTTTTTCATACTGGCCCCCCATGGGAATCGAACCCACAACCCTGGCGTTGCAAGCGCCATGCTTTACCAACTGAGCTACAGGAGGATTCAGGACTGGAGCAGTCCCAAATGTTCCATCGCCCCCCTTCCCTCTTCTTCTCCAGCCATAGTCCACTCTGCAGTAGAGGATGGATGGGTAGAGCTCGACTGTAAACTGCCGATGGTCCATGGACCATGTCTAGCGAATCCTGTGAGCATTGACCACACTTCAAAGGCATCATACTATTATAGTGGTCAGGGCAAGTGTGAGCGTGTCTGTGTGTGCAAGACCAACTAATCCTGCCATTTCTCCTTCCATCTCTCCTGTAAGCCTTCAAGGCATCGCCATGACAACTAAGGCAAAATCTTCCATCAAAAAGACAAAAACCTGTGTCTTGTTCTTTTTCTTTTTGTCTGCTGTGTTGCTAATCTAAACAACGCACAATAATCGTTAGGATCTCTGTTAAATAAATTATCTATACATTATATTAGCCCCTCCCATAGACCTGCAACAAAGGAGGAGTCTATCTATGTAATAAAACTATAGGTTCCCAGTATCTGTATGTACTGTATGTTGGCCCGCTCTGTAATGTTTCTCAGTCCATGTCAGCCTCCTCAAAACAACCAGAGGCAGACAGACTTCCTCACAGAGATCAAACAGGCCAAGTCTTACAAAAAAACAACATAAGCAAAGCCGATGCATACAAGTAGGAAGAAAACCGGAGTAGAAACGTTGTTCACTGCAAAATCAGTATCCAGCTAAAAGTATTCCACATGGTGTTTCCCTGGAAACCAACTAGTCCTCTCTGAGGACTGTGGAGCGAGGTGTGATGTGATTGGACTGGGGCCGTGGTGACATCAGAGCCTCACTGAACTCCTTCTTCGTCAACGTATGTTGAGGGAAACCAGCCAATCTGAAATGTCAACAATGAGATCAGGAACTTGTCAAAATTCTAATGGTGTAGCCTACAGAAAGGCTTCTAGATTTCAGTGAGGCAAATGCTAGATTAGGCATTAACATTGTAGACTTCACTTTGCGGAAACACTTTACATTAAGATGCTCTCATACTTGTGTAATTACACAACAATTGCTATAGTTAGAACATTGTAATATCATGAATCCCATCTCTTAAGCCACTCCTATATTTGTTCTCTCACCCTGCCGTTGGCCTCTCCCTTCCACCAGCCCTGGTCTCCTCCAATCTTGCTGTAGATCTTGACGATGTCCCCTTCTCTGAGTGACAGCTCCCTCATGTCCCGTGCTGCAAAGTTGTACCTGGCCACCGCTGTGCTGACCACCCTCGGCGTGAACACTGCAACAATGACATCAGAGCTAGTCAGTGGGATAACAGTGCTGAGAGACCAGACACATTGGTGGCCCACAGATACAGATCCTGGGTGAGTGCACAACATTTACAGACAGTAGTGGAGATTAGGGTTGGGGGAGAGGATTGTACATGAGTGGTATGGAGGAGATATATTCTACACCTTGATTCAATTTGACTTTGACTTTCTAAAGAAACCAGTTACTCAATGATGGCACAGTGATGACACAAAGATAAAGTCGCACAGCCTATATATGCTCCAAACAATGTCATTGACAGTGATGACACATGACAACAGAGATGAGAACCTTTGACAGCTATGAAAGAGTATGGGATGAAAAGGGATGTGAAAAGAGAGGAGAGGTGGCATGCTAGAGGACAGAGGGAAGAAGAAGAAGAGCTGAAGATAAGGAAGGAGAGCGTACCTGACCAGAAGGGGGCTGAGCTCTGAGAGGAGAAGTTGAGACCCTGAGGACTGAGGAAGGAGAAGTTGTAGGAAGCGCCAATGGCTGCTGAGACAGGCAGTGGAAGAGAGAAAAAGAAAGTGAGAAAGAAAGAGAAAGAGAGAGAGAAAGGAAACTCATTAGGGAGTGTGTAATAGCTGGCCAGAGATCAAGGTGGCCAACACACAGGGCTTTGGACAGATAGCCCCCATGGGAAGAAATAGCTTAAATCAAGAGGGGAAAAAACACTACACCATTCTATACCCATGCCTCACACACTGAAACACCAATCCTGACAAATGCCCAAACCACCAGAGGCGCTGAATCCTGCTCCTGTCCAGCCAGCCCCTCTCCTCTCCCCTGGAGCACGCCCCTTCCAACCCCTCCATCCCACACACACACACAAATCAACAGGCCCCCATTCATCTCTCCAACCATTTCCACACAATGACCAGAAAAATTGAGGGGAAAAATGTGTTGTTGATGCCAGTTGGGTCTGGCAGGAGAGGGAGCAAACAAAGGCAGGCCCCTGTGGGAGTCTGGCCAGAGCAGAGACCAGAGCCAAATCATTTATTACACATCTAATGATGGAGGGTGTTCAACAGAGCCTATTCAGCTGGCCGGCCAGCCAGCCAGCCCAGGGCCTGAGACAGCTGCCAGGAGCCCCAGCCCAGCCTTCCCCCCTCCCTCTCTCTTTGGCGGGTTGGTTAGGTCATGGGAAGTGGTGACTCTGGGAGGGACCGAGCCCTGCAAAGTGACTGGCCTGGCTGGGTGTCTCCTGTTCTGGGAGGAGAGGGGCGGGAGGAGAAACAAACCGGCAGCCTGTCCCTGTCAGTTAACTCTGTGCCCATAGCCCTGCACACTCTGGAAGAATGCATGCACTAACTCTGAATAGGGATGTCTGCTATGTGTGCGTCTGTGGTATTATCAGACAGTAGAGGAAGAGGGAGGAGGAAGGCTCACCAGGGATGGGCTCACCTGGAGAACGGGTGCTGGCCCGTGATGCCGGCCCTCGTTCTCTAGATTTGTAGGGATATCGCAACGTTGTGTCTAGCAGTTTGAAACTCTCCTTCAGCGAATGAGACTGATAGTACTCCACCAACTCCTGTCAGACAGAACACAAGAGAAAGAAGCAATAGGGTCATTCATTCATCATTTAAGCATTAGAAGTAGTATGGGACATTATGTGACTGATTGATGAAAGCTCTATTACCAGTAGACTCTCAAACTTCTTAGCCTCAGTGATGTGGATCCAGCTGTCTTTCTCAATGACTTTAATGTGCTTCACTTCATCATTGAACCTGTCGGAGACAAAAGTACTGCAGTGACTACAGAGGAATCACATGGAAGGGAATGGACAGAGTGGGCATGGTCTAACTCTAATGGCATCCCAAACTGTATGACAACTTTCTGGTAATGTACACTACAAAAATTGAGTCATTCAATAAAGTGACTTGCACTATAAAGTACGCGACGGAATGGAGGTTTGTTAGTGTTAGAGATACAGAGAAGTCTATTTTACTTAGCTTTCCTAGGGCAGAGGGTAAACAACACTCACTTGATGCTGATGGCGAACCTTTCTGCCTCAGCAGTCCTCTCTCTGATCAGGTATGTTCCACTGCTGTGGGACTTCAACAGGTTGTCAGCCTGTGTCCGCTCCATGTTGCCAGCAAACCTGAAGGGACATTGAGGTGGAACACAGGTCACTGAAGGACTACAGATACACATAATAATACACTCCTAACATAGTAATACACTGTGTTAACATAGTAATACACTGTCTTAACATAGTAATACACTGTCCTAACATAGTAATACACTGTCTTAACATAGTAGTACACTGTCTTAACATAGTAATACGCTGTCTTAACATAGTAATACACTGTCCTAACATAGTAATACACTGTCCTAACATAGTAATACGTTGTCTTAACATAGTAATACGCTGTCTTAACATAGTAATACACTGTCCTAACATAGTAATACACTGTCATAACATAGTAGTACACTGTCCTAACATAGTAATACACTGTCTTAACATAGTAATACACTGTCCTAACATAGTAATACACTGTCCTAACATAGTAATACGCTGTCTTAACATAGTAATACGCTGTCTTAACATAGTAATACACTGTCCTAACATAGTCATACACTGTCTTAATATAGCAATACACTGTTTTAACATGGTAATACACTGTCTTAACATGGTAATACACTGTCCTAACATAGTAATACACCGTAGTAACATAGTAATACACTGTCCTAACATAGTAATACCACAGTAATACCATTTATTTACTGCAGAGAAATGACGAGATAGTACTTGCAAACTAGACTGAATCATCACTTCAAAATGAGGACATCCCAACTTTTGAAACATGTCTGATAGTATCCAAGGTGAAGGGTCATACCAGGGGTATCCATAGTAGTCTGTTTCCCTTGAGGGCTGCCGGCTGGGGAAGGACTGGAACAAAGGCTGTGGTGACAACAACAAAATCAGCATTAGAGAGTATATAAATAGAGTAGAATCATTAGTGAGTGAATTAATGTGTATGTGAGGGGTCTTTTACCTTTGGGTCCAAACAAGGCTTTACACAGTTGTTAGGAAAGAATCCACTCTTCTGGGTTTGAATAAGCTTTCCCTGGGAGAGAGAGACACTAGGTGTCGATATACAACAACTCTGTTGCTATGGATGGATATAGGAGAATGTTTGTGAATGTTCCTCAGAATGTGTATGTTAGTGGATAACCTATAGTCAGTATTTATAGGGGTGAGGGAGTGATTTTACCTCCCACCAGGTGGTGTCAGGTTCCCCCTTCAGCAGCTCGATGAAGTCCCCTGTCTGAAAGGATAGTGGAGTCTTCCCTGGAGGAACAGGCGTCCCATGATAGTTCCTTACTGCCACCATCTTAGGGCCTGAAGCCAGGATAAAATGCATACAGTAAGATAAACTGAACACTCTTCCAATAGGCTATGAAGACTATAGAGAATTCTCCATATACATCTCAACACTTCCATCACTTGTTTTAGTCTACTCAATCAGCACTTGCATTGTAGACTTCCACTAGAAGGCAGCAGAGAGCTGTAGCTCTACTCCACCTTCCAAACAACTTAAAGTTAGTTTGACAGCTTGAGAGCAATCCTTATCGAAGTCTGCTGTACATTTTGGGGATTTCTGACTGACTAACATTACACTGTGCTATGTGAATTCCCGTATGCACAGCATTCCTACCTGATGACGGTAGTCCAGGGTCCTGAAAGAGGAAGGACCAACACATTACAGGGTCAAGATAAGGGAGCTCCACAGTGGAGCTTATAGTAGTGTTATGATGCTACACAACCAAACAGATGTATCAATCATTTATCAATAAAACAGCAATATGAGAACTTATTCATGAAACAATAGATTGCACTCTTCAAAAGGTGACAAAGCTGAATGTCTAAGAAGCGGGAGGGTGAAACACTCACCGTGTCGAGTGGATCTGAAAAAATGAGAGAGAAAGGAAGAGAAAGAGCAGTTGGTCAACACAATGTTCCAACTCAGTATTTCTTCATGTCCCATTGAACAGTGTGTATCTAGGGAGACTTGTCAGTAACACTTCACATTAAGTTGCTCTTATACCTGTGCAGTACCACTGTAATGTATAGTACTGGAGTTGAGCGTAAAGTAAACCTACTGATTTTACAGATTGTGATGCACTCCAGACACTCTTTGTGTGCTCCAGTCCCACAGCGGGAACAGTAGTACCCCTGGTAGAAGATCCCCCTGGGAGAGAGAGAGAGACACAGAGAGTTGGGGGGTCAGGGGTGAGGAAAAGACTGACACTGACTACCCAATCATGCACAGGATCATTCCTAACCCTGACCAGCTAGAACATGTCTTTATCTAAACATCACTCTAAATAGAATATAATGTACAACATTAACCATATGTGATTCTATGCTAGTACTTTCCTAGTATACACTGTTGATTCCTGTGTGGTCACACACTGTCTATTGGTGTTAACTGACTGTCTCTTTGAATAAAAGCCCCCACTAAATTAAATTCACTACATCCACCGTAAGCGTTCCACTCTTTCTTTCAGGCCACACAATAAAGTGGATTACTTTTTACGTTATGTAAAATACGGCACGTGTATACTCTGCAGTCTATACACTGTCATGTCCAATAGCTAGCACCATACATCAGACTAATACACTGGGGCTACTGATGCAATTAGCAGTTAGCAGCTAGTGGTAGCAGCACACTGGTCCTTCCACAGCACCGGGTGGGAATTTAGGTCAGCGTTGCTACTATGTTGTTTTTGGGTCAATACATTGCATGGAGTGTAGAGTGTAGACAGCCACTGTAGTAGAAGTCTGAAGAGTTTAAGAGTAGTAGTCAGAAGAGTGCACAGCATAGCGCTGGAGCTGCACTCACATTGTCAACTTAGATGCAGGCCTACTGTAATGGAGTGTTTACTTGGGTGTTCTAGCTGTCAGTCAAATCAAACAGACTCAAAGGCTGAGTGATTTGTCATTCAGGGAGTTTAGACAGCCTGGCAAGCTAAAAAGACTGAATATCAAAGTAAGCGTGTAGCGTCAGTAAGTACCACATCCCATTAGAAAACTGTGCTGTCATCCGTCAACAAAGTGCATGATAAGGCCCGGTACATGGGAGGAGCCCTGCGGCTGGTGCCTAGTCTCACCTCAGCAGCATCTTGCAAGCTCGGCAGTTGGTGTTCTTCTCAAACGTGTGCATCTGGAAGTTGTGCAGATTGGCCATGGCTTTCTCCGGCTTGATGTTTGACCTTTGGGATTGGAGGAAACATACATGATACATAGTGAGTTTGAATGAAATGGGTCTGATTAGTCTGAAAGATCCACTCGGCTGCATGCTGCTACTATAGGCCTACTACTGTACTCACATGGCCATCTCAAACTGCTCCATCCATTTCCTCTTGGTGTCCTCTGTTTTACAGAAGAACTGGAAACCCTGCTTCCCTTGCAGGTGGATCAGGTAGAAGCCATAGGACCACTGCAGAGAGAGTGAGTGAAGAAATGAAGAAAGGATGGTAGAGAGAAAGAAACATGGAGGTAGATGGAGAGAGTGGTGGGGGACAGACGAGGAGGGTTGTAACAAATTCCCCTAAACAATCATGTATACTAACAAAAGGTACTTTCTATAGGCTACACATTCCCTTTGGAGCTAACCAAGAGATAGTGTTCATGCTTGGCAATGCATCTGACAAAAGCTTAAGAGAATCACATAGCCAGTGGGTGCACATGCAATCATGGCATGACACCCAACACCACACACACACACACACACACACACTGGCTGCTATGAGAAGATGAGTTAAGGGTTGCTTCAGCTTACCATTTTTCCACTCGACTGGTATGCATGCAAAGAGAAACACACCAGAGAAGACCCAGTTATACATGCACACGACCACGCATGCAGATTCAAAAGATTCAAAAGAATGGTTAGATTGGTGGAAAATGCACACGGCCGTATTGTAAATGACCTTCATTGCATTACACATGAGCGTGCTGATCTGAAATGACCGTCACCGCAGTTCTATGTCAAGGACACCATTTGTAATGATTGCTAAGATATTGCAGAACCTGGTCTGAGTGTGTCCCTTCAGCAGGGTGTTAGGAGAAATTGCAGCTCAAGGCTGCTGCCTACCTTCTTCATGTCCCTGTTGTTCATGGGGTCGTCAGACATTTTGTATGACTGTAGCTCAATGATCTCTTTCAGTTCATAGCAGTAGCCTTTCCGCTTGCACACAATCACCACTTTATCAAACAGGAATATGTACCTTGGAAAAAGAATCGTAAAACATCAGTTAGAGCTCCGAACACATGTATTGTCCATTATAAAGTCTGTTAATCACATAGTACACATTCAGTAAGTCTGGATTACATAGTGAAGCTTCACTACTCACCGGTCCTGCTTTGTTCGGTTGACTATGGAGGACACCTTGAGCTCTCCATCTATCTTTGGTCTGCCATACTCTTCCAGTTTGACCTGCTGCTTGGGTAACATACACATGCCTGGATTAAAGTGGCAATCTGCAGTTCAGACGATCAAAGTGTGCACCCCGCCACTGATTTGGTAAACAGCTGAGGGATGGGGCTTGAAAATGTTTGACCCTCTCAAATTCATGGACAAAGCTATGGATATAAGGAATGACAATGGTTTTAACCATGTTTTGAGGCTACACAGTGTTTATTTACATATACCTTGTTTACAAACAAAGGAGTAAAACAAGCTAATATTTTGGTTCTGATGGGGTATGACAAATGCTCATGAAGCATCTGTAAGTTACATTCTTGAAGAATCATTGGATAGATATCATTCATTTAGGTGTCTAAAAATGGATGTAGCAATTGTAGATTGCCCTTTTAATCTAATGCTGTACTTCTCAGTTTCTTTCAGTGATGAATATGAGTGGTGGTACAAACAGTAGGTAAGGATAAGAACAGCAAAACATTATGACATTCATGACTCTTTCACCACTGGTTGTATGGTACCCATCAGGGTGTGTTGGATACAGCAGTTATTTCATGTCAGTGATACAATGAGCATACATAAAGGACAGACCGACTGACAGACAAGACAAGACAGGCAGTACATCTGAAATAGCAGCCTGTGGCTATCTCTGAGGCTTCATCTAAAGCACATATCAAGGCCAATAAAAGGCATCTGCTGTTAGACTAAACGCTGCCTTGCACGGCACACTTTAGTTTTGGATTGGTGGAGAATTAAAAAGCCTGTCTGCTCACACTCTGGAAGAATAAATAATTTGTGAGAGACATGATAATTGCAGATGAGTGGGACAAGTGGAAGTGAGGGATGAGGCAAGCAGAGAGAGGAGAGATTGAGAGAGAGAAAGAGACAGAGAGAGAGAGAGAGACATTGTAAACAAACACCATTGTAAATTCAACCAATATTCATGTTTATTTACTTTCCCTTTTGTATTTTAACTATTTGCACATAATATGACAATTGTCTTTATTCTTTTGAAACTTTTGTGAGTGTAATGTTTAATGTTCATTTTTGTATTGTTTATTTCACTTTTTTTTATGATCTATTTCACTTGCTTTGGCAATGTAAACATATGTTTCCATGCCAATAAAGAAATTGAATTGAGAGAGAGAGACAGAGAGAGAGGAATGTTCCAGGCTGTTCACAGAGAGAGAGAATTTGGGGAGTGTGTCAGGGCCAGGGGGATGGACAATCACTCTCTGATGCTCAATAAATATTTGACAGTAAATGCATACTTGACAATCTCAATAAATTGTCAAAGACTTTAGCCACCCAAGTCATAGACTGTTCTCTCTGCTACCGCACGGCAAGTGGTACCGATGCACCAAGTCTGGAACCAACAGGACCCTGAACAGCTTCTACCCCCAAGCCATAAGACTGCTAAATAGTTAGGTAAATAGTTAGCAATAGCACCCCGCATTGACTCTTTTTGCACTAACTGTTTTGACTCATCACATACGCTGTTGCTACTGTCACTTTATTCCTAGTTATACAGTACCAGTCAAAAGTTTGGACACCTACTCATTCAAGGGTTTTTCTTTATTTTAACAATTTTCTACATTGTATAATAATAGTGAAGACATCAAAACTATGAAATAACACATATGCAATCATGTAGTAACCAAATATATATTTTAGATTCTTCAAAGTAGCCACCCTTTGCCTTGATGACAGCTTTGGACACTCTTGGCATTCTCTCAACCAACTTCACGTAGAATGCTTTTCCAATAGTCTTGAAGGAGTTCCCACATATGCTGAGCACTTGTAGGCTGCTTTTCCTTCACTTTGCGGTCCATCACTCTCCTTCTTGGTCAAATAGCCCTTACACAGCCTGGAGGTGTGTTGGGTCATTGTCCTGTTGAAAAACAAATGATTGTCCCACTAAGCCCAAACCAGATGGGATGGCGTATCGCTGCAGAATGCTGTGGTAGCCATGCTGTTTAAGTGTGCCTTGAATTCTAAATAAATCACAGACAGTGTCACCAGCAAAGCACCATCACACCTCCTCCTCCATGCTTCACGGTGGGAACTACACATGCGGAGATCATCCGTTCACCTACACTGCGTCTCACAAAGACACAGCAGTTGGAACCAAAAATCTCCAATTTGGACTCCAGACCAAAGGACAGATTTCCACCTGTCTAATGTCCATTGCTCGTGTTTCTTGGCCCAAGCAAGTCTCTTCTTCTTATTGGTGTCCTTCGGTAGTGGTTTCTTTGCAACAATTCGACCATGAAGGCCTGATTCACGCAGTCTCCTCTGAACAGTTGATGTTGAGATGTGTCTGTTACTTGAACTCTGTGAAGCACTTATTTAGGCTGCAATATCTGACGCTGGTAACTCTAATGAACTTATCCTCTGCAGCAGAGGTAACTCTGGGTCTTCCTTTCCTGTGGCGGTCCTCATGAGAGCCAGTTTCATCATAGCGCTTGATGGTTTTTGCGACTGCACTTGAAGAAACTTTCAACATTCTTCACATTTTCCGGATTGACTGACCTTCATGTCTTAAAGTAATGATGGACTGTCGTTTCTCTTTGATTATTTGAGCTGTTCTTGCCATAATATGGACTTGGTCTTTTACCAAATAGGGCTATCTTCTGTATACCCCCCCCTACCTTTCACAACACAACTGATTGGCTCAAACGCATTAAGAAGGAAAGAAATTCCACAAATTAACTTTTAACAAGGCACACCTGTTAATTGAAATGCATTCCAGGTGACTACCTCATGAATCTGGTTGAGAGAATGCCAATAGTGTGCAAAGCTGTCATCAAGGCAAAGAAGGCAAAGGGTGGCTACTTTGAAAAATCTCACATATAAAATATTTAATTTTTTTGTTTAACACTTTTTGGGTTACTACATGATTTCATATGTGTTGTTTCATAGTTTTGATGTCTTCACTATTATTCTACAATGTAAAAAATTGTAAAAATAAAGAAAAACCCTGGAATGAGTAGGTGTGTCCAAACTTTTGACTGGTACTCTATGTACATATCTACCTTAATTACCTCGTCCCCTGCACATCAACTCGGTACTGGTACCCTGTGTATATAGTTATCATTACTCATTATGTATTTATTATGACTTTTATTATTACGTGTTATTACTTTTCTATTAATTCTCTATTTTCTTTCTCTCTGCATTGTTAGGAAGCATTTCACTGTTAGTCTACACCTGTTGTTTAAGAAGCATGTGAAGAATACATTTTGATTTGATTTAAAATATGATTTGATTTAAATATCCAACAGGACAACGTACAAAGGGTCAACACTCATTATTGATTGAAATGTCAGTGCTGATTGTAGAAAATTGCTGTCGTTTACAACAATCAAGTTACTTACAAGGTTCTCGATCGAGTTCTGGAATTCACTAATCTTCTTCAAGGTCTCGTTGTCTCTCTTCACTTCATTGATGTACATAGCCAAGTCCTTCAGAGACACATTGTTTTTACACCAGTACATCTGAATAACATCTATTATATCTTGGCAGCTGAGTTAAAGCTACAATATAATGTATAGCTATGCACTCATGCAGCCCTTTTGAATGAATAGAAAAATGTCACAATGGTTGATGATCATACCCAGAATAACCTAAAGAAAGCATGCACACACACACACACACACACACACACACACACACACACACACACACACACACACACACACACACACACACACACACACACACACACACACAACCCTAAAACTATACCTAACCCTAACTCCTAACCCTAAGCCCTAACCCTAATTGTAACCCTAATCCTAAACCTAACCCCTAAGTTTAAAATAGCATTTTTCCTCGTGGGGACCAACTTGTCTGAATTTTCCTTGTTTTACTATCCTTGTGAGGACTTCTGGTACCCACAAGGATAGTTAAACAAAACACACACACACACACAGAAACATACACACACACATACAGTTACACACACACACACATATATAGACACACCACAGGAGGTTGGCACCTTAATTGGGGAGAAGTGGCTTGTGGTAATGACTGGAGCGGAATTGTGGAATGGTATCAAATACATCAAACACATGGTTTGCAGGTGTTTGATGCTATTCCATTTTCTCTGTTCCGGACATTATTATGAGCCATCCTCCCCTCAGCAGCCTCCTGTGACACACACACACACACACCTGCATGGCCTCCAACGCCTCCTTCAGCTGCTGTTTATCAGGTCGGTCAGTTGAATGACTCACCAGTTCCTGTAAGGGGAAGTTACATTCATTCCATCAGTGAAGAATAATAATATGCCATTTAGCAGACGCTTTTATCCAAAGCGACATACAGTCATAAATGCATACATTTTTGTGTATGGGTGTTCCCGGGGATCGAACCCACTACCCTGGCGTTACAAGCGCCGTGCTCTACCAGCTGAGCTACAGAAGAACACAACACACACATACCCAATACACTACCACACACTCTACACAAACATTCACATAACTCAGTAGGACAGCAACACACCACAGAGAAAAACAGAGAAACTCATATGAACCCTCACTAAACTTTATCACCTCAAAATATGTTTTTCTGTATAAACACAGTGAATACTCTCAGAGGTACTGTACTAGTGGAACATCTGTGCATATAGAGCAGTGGTTCCCAACTCCGGTCCTCCAGTATCCCCAACAGCACACATTGTTGTTGTAGCCCCAGACAAACCACCTGATTCAACTCATTGAGGGCTTGATGATTAGTTGACAAGTTGAATCAGGTGTGTTTGCCTGGGGCTACAGCAACAATGTGTTGGGGGTACTGGAGGACTGGTATAGAGCATGTGATGTTACAACTGACACTTTCAGGTGGACTTTATGCATGCTTCAGCGGTTTTATAGAGAAAGGGTGAGTGTGGGAAGATAATATGGAAGTGAGTTATACAGTACATGGTATGTGTGTGTTGGCGAGTTTAGGCCTGCTGGCCATGTCATTGAAGACAGAATGATTTGCTACAGTATAAGCTGTGTAGTGTGTAATTCTGACAAAGACCATATATGGCTTAATCACAGTGGAATCTGCAACACCCATTGACATGAAGTAATGTTGTGCCCTAAGGCTTACATACACATACACGCGCACACACACACACACACACACACACACACAGCCTGTCAGTTGAACGCCCTAGGGCCACGGCATATTAATCCTTAACGACAAAGCTATGGGAAGGAGTGAAATGGGCCTGCATGTAATGTGATTAGAGTGTGGCTGATTTGAACACAGTTTCTCTTCTCTGGATGTCCTGTCAGCCAGTCATTCAGCCGGCCAGCCAGTCAACCAGTCAGCCAGCCAGTCAGTCAGCCAGTCAGTCAGCCAAGTCAGATGAATAACAAACCACTCACTGCAGTCCCCCCATCATCACCTGCCATGCGCTCTGCTTACCTCTACTCTCTTCATACCCACGTCAACAGCTAGCCCCACATCATTCATTATTAAGCTGACTGGTTACTTAATCGTGTTTTGAATCAGGCAGCCTGGCCAGCTTGTTTTATACATGACTACTGTACTAGCATGACTACTAAGGGAGAGTTCCCGGAACAAGGCTCAATTGGGTCTCTGTGTGTACTGGACTGGCCACACTGTGTGTATGTTTAAACCATGTCTGTGGGCATCACATGAGGATGGTGGCACCTTAATTGGGGAGGACGGCCTCGGGGTAATGGCTGAAGCGGAATTAGTGGAATGGTGTCATATACATCAAACACATAGTTTCCATGTGTTTGATGCCATTCCATTTACTCTGTTCCAGCAATTATTATGAGCCGTTCTCCCCTCAGAAGCCTCCTGTGGTGGGCTTGAAGATGACCAGGGTCAAGGGGAAACGGAGGGACACTAGGATGTATACTGAGTGGCCATATAAGTGAGATTCAGCCTTAACACACCTAGCACACTCAACCGCTATACCAAGAAAAACTCACAATTTTCTTATTGTCTTAAAGAATGTCCCTTTTTTATGAAGAGTGATGGTGCTGAGGAATTATGTGAATGAGTCATTGACGTTAATGCCTAAGGGTTACCACAAGTTGTATTGTGGGTTTGTAATACTACTTACCTTGAGTAGGAGGTGGTACTTTAGTACTCTCTGCATGGGCACTACCAGCAGGTCCTGGAGCTTGAACTTCCCTTCCTGCACCTTCATAGTGCACTCCTACAAAAATAATATTTATACACTACTGTTCAAAAGTTTGGGGTCACTTAGAAATTTCATTGTTTTTCGAAATATTTTTTTAGTCCATTAAAATAACATCAAATTGATCAGAAATACAGTGTAGACATTGTTAATGTTGTAAATGGCTATTGTAGCAAGAAACGGCTGATTTTTACTGGAATATCTACATAGGCGTACAGAGGCCCATTATAAGCAACCATCAGACCTGTGTTCCAATGGCACGTTGTGTTTGCTAATCCAAGTTTATCATTTTAAAAGGCTAATTGATCATTAGAAAACCCTTTTGCAATTATGTTAGCACAGCTGAAAACTGTTGTGCTGATTAAAGAATCAATAAAACTGGCCTTCTTGAGATTAGTTGAGTATCTGGAGCATCAGCAATTGTGGGTTAGATTACAGGCTCAAAATGGGCAGAAACAAATAACTTTCTTCTGAAACTCGTCAGTCTATTCTTGTTCTGAGAAATGAAGGCTATTCCATGCGAGAAATTGCCAAGAAATTTAAGATTTTGTACAACGCTGTGTACTACTCCCTTCACAGAACAGTGCAAACTGGCTCTAACCAGAATAGAAGGAGGAGTGGGAGGCCCCGGTGCACAACTGAGAAAGAGGACAACTACATTAGAGTGTCTAGTTTGAGAAACAGGCACCTCACAGGTCCTCAACTGGCAGCTTCATTATATAGTACCCGCAAAACACCAGTCTCAACGTCAACAGTGAAGAGGCGACTCTGGGATGCTGACCTTCTAGGCAGAGTTGCAAAGAAAAAGCCATATCTCAGACTGGACAATAAAAAGAAAAGATGAAGATGGGCAGTCTGAGATATGGCTTTTTCTTTGCAACTCTGCCTATAAGGTCAGCATCCCGGAGTCGCCTCTTCACTGTTGACGTTGAGACTGGTGTTTTGCGGGTACTATTTAATGAAGCTGCCAGTTGAGGACCTGTGAGGCGTCTGTTTCTCAAACTAGACACTCTAATGTATTTGTCCTCTTGCTCAGTTGTGCACCGGGGCCTCCCACTCTTTTATTTCAGCTCATGAAATATGGGACCAACACTTTACGTTTTGCGTTCAATTAGGTCACATATATCTATCTATTATGCGTGTTTTTACAGTCTTTTATGTCCAACAATAAAAATAAAAATTAATGTTGATTTATTCATTTTTGGTCCAACAACTTAAAATAATTTGGCCCGCAGGCTGCCAGTTGGGAAACCCTAGTGTATACACTCCGATACAAAAGTGTCATTTCAAACTATCACTACAACACATTCCTACAATAGTGCATTCCAACAACCGTGCCAACAGCTGTGTGTCCCTAGCCCCTACCACTTAGTCAACAACTACACCAGGCCATTCATACTGATACGGACATTCCTCCACTGTATGAGTAAGAAAAAACACATTCATCCCTCTCTCTGAATAATAGCCATAACAATGTCCTTGCTACTGTAAATATAAACAATGAGCCATACAGCTGCATTGTAATGCATTGAGTCAGACCATGAGCCATCGTAACCCAGTAGATATTGAATGCTATCCTCTGCTCTACAGAAAGAGAAGTTCATTGTTCACTGTGATTATCAGGCCTGATGTCTCTCTCTCTCTCTCTCTCCTGAGGGGATAACTCTGATTCTAATCCACTTTAAAAGCCACATTGTTGTCTGTGTGTGTGTGTGTGTGTATGTGTGTGTCAGTGTGCGTGCGTGCATGCATGCATGTGTCTGTGTTTGTGTGTGTGTGTGTGTATGTGTGGGTGTGTGGGTGTGTGCGTACGTGCCTGCGTGTCTGTTTGTGTGTGTGTCTGTGTGTGCGTGCGTGTGTGCGTGTGAACGCTCCGAGAGTGAGGCTGAGCAGGGAGAATCAATTCCAAAGCCCTCCTTCTATATGTCAGATAACAGGGTGATAATCATCTCCATTATGTCAACAGCTCCCAGACCCAATATCAGGCTTTTCCCCTATCCTACACCCTAATCGAATCTACCCTAATCCCCCACTTCACCACAGAGCTAGTCCTCTATCATTAGTAACTACCCTTCTCCTATCATCGCTTCTGACTTCGGTTTGGGTCTTGTTTTCTACAGAGAAGTTACTAGTTGAAGTTTTCTGTGTCCTCTCTCGGACGCTCTCAAATCCTTCCAGTGGCCTTTGGTTTTACATCCAAACTGTCAGCTGCAGTCTGCCGTGGTAGGGATGTATTTGTGTGTTTAGGGCTGACCGGGAGGCACTTGTCCCTCAGTGACAGAGGGCAGTTAGAGACTGTACAGTACTGTGCTGTAGATCTCTACT